TGTCATAATAAGTTTTGCATACAGTATCTTTTGCCATTGACAAATAAAACCGAATTACTTTCTTCTTTCGAACAATGCGATTTACTCAATCTTTGCATCCCATAATTCTATTTCCACTGTCCGTCCGTCCACCAAACCTCATCAATATAAATACGAAACGAGCTAGTGCTCAGCTATGTCTGTGGTTTGCAAATTTGTAACTACTATAGATTCTCATCCTTAACAAATTCATTGTCAGATTATGCTCCAACAATAAAGAAGAAAAACGCTTTATTGAATTTCTCAATAAAAATGATACGTGACAAAATGAAAACAATATCCAAACAGTAATAATATTGCTAAGGGCAGTTCGGAAAGAAAGAGACGATATCGGAACGTTTGGGATAAAAATAAAGCACACACAGACGAACACATAGAGTAGAGTATAGAAGTAGGTAAATGCTCGATGCGAGAGATCGATCCAAACAGAACATTTAAAAAATTGTTGAGAAAAGTGGACAAATCGAAAAAATCGAATGGAATTTCCGAATAAAGTGAACTCAACAAATAACTTAAACAAACCAAAAGATACCAAAATGATTATCTCTAAAAGCGTAGGATAGATGAAGAAGCATACAAAATACAATATTGCATAAGTCATCGTCATAATAAATTCGCCGAAATCAGACAATTTCTGTGAATAAGTCAATGGAAAAATTTCAAATTACTGCAAATTACTTCCAAATGAATTCTTCGAGAAACGAATTCAATTAAGCTTACAAACTGAATTTTATTTCAGTAGCTGTCATCAGGTTACACAAACCATTCGAAAAAACAAATGGATGACAATTGATGAAGATCAAATAAATGAAACGTTAACAGATACATTGCACCGAAAACGAATGAGAATACATGAGTAAATGCGAGAAAATCTTTGAATAGGACAACGATCACTTNAGAACGAAGGGACACATTCATGCACACTAGTTGATTGATGGACGGATGTATGTATGGTTGGTTGCTGTGCAAATTCTTCAGTCCAAAATGCTGTCGCCTGCCACATTATGAGCTCTTGAAGAGGCTCAAACCCTTTTTCACTTTAACTCTGTCGGGTGGTGAACTGCTAAAATTACTTTAAAAAATCATAATTCATTTAACACCACGATCAACACCACCATCACATTTATCAAAATATTCAACATTCCCAATCGAACCACCTCAACAAATCAGTCATTATTCCTTGAAGACGTCACTTACCCCCCTACCCCCCCCCCCATAAAAACAAAATCAACTTACTCAGCCAAACGTGTATTACTACTTCTCGAATCCTGACGCGATATCACTCCTGTACGTCGCAGCTCAACCACATCACTCATCAACTGATCCAATGCATTACGACGTTCTTGCAGAATCTGTCGGTTCTTCACTTCCAATTCATCGATCTACAACACACCAAAAATCTCTTTAAAAAATTACTTTCAGTCCAACTCACATACTACTCCACGTAATTTGTACACATTTCTATTGCAAAGGAATACAAATTGGCAATAAGTGATAAAAACAACAATAAACGAAAACAAAACCGCTAATAACATACTTCAGCTTGTCTGGCTGCCAATTTCTTCTCACGTTCATTTACCTTTTCGTTGAAAATCTGCAATCAAATTCTATGAACATTAAACATCATTATCATCATCGAAATTTTCAAAATCATCACAACATACCATATGTAAAGCAATACCATCAAACTTTCTCACAAACAAAACTAAATCAAAGAAATAAATTCGCTTGAACCTTCTCCATCTCCACTCTTTTCGCCTCAAGTTCACTT